AGAGTATGTATATAACATGTAGTCCTATAACAAAAAATAGAGATTTCCTTAGATATTTTTTTAGTGAACGACGCTTAATTATCTTATAGAAATATAGCACACTTGATAAATTTTACCAATAACCATCTATAAAAGAATTTTTATTATTATTTATTTATTCATATGTATGTTCACTCATCAACTTAATATGATTTTGATATTAAGATTTGGTATTTGTTATAATATATATGCAGTTATATTTAGCAAGTATTACGTGAATCAATTATATAAGATAGAGTTTTATGCTATGAAGCATATACATTATTATATTATCAAACAATAACACATTCTTCTGTGTTAAACTGTATCAGTCTGGTCTGTTAACAAAAATCTTTTTTTTAAAAATTTGAAACTCAAAATTAATAATCTTTTTTCCGATTGATTACTCTCTAATACTAGCATATTTCTTTATGATTGTCTTCACGCTCGTAAAATCGTATAATACCTACGCGAGCGAAATCCTATCGAAGCCTGAACGCAAGCGAACACACTTGGAAGTGGAAAGATTCCACAATATATACGCAATAGAAAATAAAATATAATTTTTTTTTTTTTTTTTTTTTTTTTTTTTTTTTGTAGAATATTTAATTTTTTTAATTTATTTAATAGATAGTTTTATAAATTAAATCCTCTTTTTAAAGCTCGTACACCACTCCTTTCTGCGGCTCTTCAACCAGTTCCGGACACTTTAGGCTGCTTAGTATAATAACTATCCTTGTAGTGAGAGCGCATCCTTATCCACCATGGAACACAACTAAAGATTGAGGCATGAGCACCAATAACACATCTCCGACTTAGAGGCTTCTATTGTGAAATGAAGTTTAGTTAGAGGTCTTAATAAAAAACACCCACACACAAAAATCACGAAAAGTAAAAAATGTATGGGCACTTTTTGGTTAAATCACTTGCGAGCGCTATATTTCGTGTTTTTGAAAATTATACCATATTTTTGTTTTGTATGCGAAAACCACAGAGATTACACTTAAATATTCTGGATAGTAGTATTAGTCACCTCTCCAACCCAAACGCAAAATAAGAGTTTAGTATTTTTTGCAGCTTATCCATATAATATATATATATTCACCAAAAATCAAAAGTGAGTTAACAAGCTGCAAAAATCAACCGAAAAAAAGTATGAAACAGATATGCCCCCTAGATAGTCTGACCTGAGGTATGGTACCTGAAGCATTGATGAAGTAAATACAAAGGTCCGGCCACGCGTAGGTACTGATCTTTTTTAAGTAGATAGTCTATTTGTGTCCTTGAGGTGTATCGTACAAGATCTGGAATCGGTCAAAATGCGTGTCACCTCGGTAATTTGGCCGTTACCGAAGGTCACTGTGTCCATTTTGAGAAATTTAAATTTTTTTTTTTAATTCTTAATATTTTTTCAATCTATATATAGGGAAATAGACTTGTGATCAAGAATAGTGATTTTGTTTGTCTCATATTTGAAATGGATGTAGGTTTCTCTTACCACTCATTTTAGTAGAATTTTGATCTGGTTGAGATTAATATGGATCTATGTAGTTTATTGTGTAAGGTATTTTCTTTGACAATTTTACATTGCGGTGAGAAATATAAAACCCTTTCACATGCTTTGGTCTTTTGAGAGCGCGCGCGAGTGAGAGAGAGAGTTCTCATGGGTCCCCGTTGATTGAGGAAAAATAGTTAAAGTTAATTATTTGGATTTGTGCTGCCTTACACAATTAAAGGGTAGAGAGTTAATACCGTCTCGGTAGAATTTTGCGAGTTTTTTAAAAATGTAAGGTTAAACTCAGATATCGACGTGCATTCTTGTTAGGTTTTTCTTATCAGATTTTTATCATATCGATCATATTTATTCACTCAGCATATTTGTTCCACCGTATTTTCCTTCACGTATTTCTAGTAGCGATTTCGTACTAGACGTTTTTCTGGCAAGTTTGTGTCTGCATATTTTGGCTAAGAAAGTTTTGCTGGCGCCAGTTATTCTTTCCACCAGTTTTTTACTCTTCGAGGAACTTTTGTTCAATCAACCGAGGGGGAGGTAGAGCAGGAGGCAGCGCTGTGTTTTCGGTTTTAGATTTCATCTCCTGGGCTTACCCCTCTAAGTGAGAAGAGTAGGAATGCTGTGATGTTTTTGTGTGGGTATTAATTAAGAGATCCCCTTCGTTTTTATAAATGTTTATATTTTTTTTTTTTTCTTGATTTTTTTTATAGTAAATCTAAACTTTTTATTAAATTTGATTTTAAAATATTTTTTTTTTTTTTTTTTTTTTATTTTTTACATTTATTACATTTTACATTTTAAGCCCGGTGTATACTGTGCATTCAGGCGGATTACTTTAACCTTTAATTTATAAAATTTAACCGTTCTGTTATATTTTATATTTTTTTTTAAACATTTTTTTTTTTTTTTTTTTTTTTTTTTTTTTTTTTTTTTTTAATTTTTTATAAAGTTTATAAATATAACCTATGTTATAATGTGATTGATAATTCGTGTTCTTTGAACATATATTTTTATTCCGTAATGGCGGCGTTTTATATTTTCATTACGAATTTATTGAGTTACCTGTAACTAGGGCAATCCTGGGTGTACATACGATTTAATAACTTTTTCACTGCGTGTAACATATAACTTAACAAAAAGGTTCATGAATATTTCTCTCGATAATTATAGAGAAATTAAAATTTAAAATATTTATTACTTCGACATATAAACCATATGACCTGGCTTATGACTTACGTCTTCGTCAAAAGCGAGTTTTTGATATTTATTATAATTTTTTTTTTTTTTATTTTTTTTTTACACTATTTTTTTGCACTCTGTATAAGAGCTGATTGTTTATTAGGATATGAGTTTTCTTCAAATTTATAAAGTTCGGTATATTATTGTACAATAACTGACTGTGGCGCATACGGTAAACCGGGTTGGAATATTTCTACGAAGGCAATAACGTTTATTTTTTTTGGCCGGTTATTAGGGAAATTGTGTCAATGGTTGAATTGCCGGTTCTGCTCAATAAAATTTAATATGCTATACTAATTTAGCGTCTCCTATTCGAATTAATAGCACTTGGGACAAATTTTCAATATTCAGTTTGTACTATCTTTGTAAGTAATTAAGCAATCTTTTTGAAATAAGTGGCGCCCTGTGGTATGCAGTGTAAAGTATAGGTGGGTATCATTTTTTTAGTCGAGAGCTTTCAGAAAAGCAAACAGCTGTTCCCACCGGCCTCCGATCATAGAGTAGACCGTTCGCAAGATTAGTATGACTTAAATTTATTCAAAATCAAAAAAAAAAAAAAAAAAAAAAAACAATATTTTTGAAATTTTTTAAAAAATCAATAAAATTTTTAAAACTTTTGATGGCAACTTTTTTTTGGTAAACGGATTTTTCTAAAGTCAAATTCCAACAAGATGAAACTACCCCTCAAATATTTCCAAGTTATATAATAATATTGCCATATTGTTTTTATCAGCCTTGAATAAATGTGAGAAAATTTTATGTCAGTTTTCAAAAAGTTTATTATATAAAACAAAAAAATATAAAACTATTAATTTTTTTTAAATATGCAGGTGAACAGGCATTTTTAATATTAGGTCAAAAAATATTTTGAATAAATGTCCTAAAATGTTTACAGCGTTTTCAGATGGAGCGGAACGTCCGCGACGGACCGTCCGCTTGTTTTTATATGTATTAATGTGTTTATGTCATGTTTATGTATATGGGCGTTATCCAGACGGAGCGACTGTCAAATTGTTCATCTCATTGTACTTGCTTGAAGGCGCGGACGCTCCGCTCCATCTGATAGCGCTGTTATTTTCCCCGATACAAGATGTAGAAGTTTCATTTTTATTTCGATTTTTTCCAAATAATTTCTGAAGTAACGTCAATTTTGGGATGATTTTCATCCCAAAATTGACGTTACTTCTTAATTGGTGTTTGGGAGTTTTTTTTTTTTTTTTTTTTTTTTGAAATGATTTTTTTTTTTTTTTTTTTTTTTTTTAGTAATATTTTTTATTGGTTGGTAACCATATCGGGTTTCGCGCGGGCTTTCCGCCCAGCCCTGAAAAACACTCTGGTTATTAGATAAAAATATATTTAAATAAAAAAATAGTAAAGTTTTAAAATAATAAACATTTTATTGATAGGTAGATACAAAATATACAGTGATCAAACGGATATATACAGTATGTCCCCGGATTTTGTCTTTACAAGAGGAGACACTTTTTATTATTGACATTTTGAGAAAATGCATTCTTTCATAAAACATTTTTGCTTTTGTTCTAAAATGTTATACCCCATTTATACTTTTCCAACTTCCATAGCATTTTAAAGAAAATAAAAAAAAAATATCATGTAACATAATGTTGATTTTTCTAAAATTGCTAAAATATCAAACGCGTTTTTGTGGTAACATCAAATTCGATTATCATTCTCTGTGATAAATGTTTATTATTAAACTAAAAAAAAAAAAAAAATATTTTTTGCTGTTGTTAAAGGATAACATTTTCCTAATAAGTATATCACCCTTTTCGTAGCATTGAACTAATTATACAGGTTGAGTCGTAAAATAAGGGTGAAATATTTCAGGGTTGAATTTTAAGAAGCTCGATAATAAGGAAACACCAATTTTCTTCTTTACCGTTTTTCAAAATAAGTTCCAAAATAAGACTTGAGTTTATTATTTTACTTTGAAAAATAATTTTTTTTTTATGTTTTTTGCTTTAAATTTTGAGAGAAAGGCACGTGTTTTTTTGAAAAACACCCTGTAATAGCGCCGTTCGGATTTGGCGATAAACTGTAGATCCCTGTACTTGTGAGACACTGATGACACACATCACAAGTACATGCAAGAGGTAGCCGACGCTCTGTATAGAGTATGGCACTGTAAGAAGAAAATGTTTTTTTTTTAAATGTCACTAATAAAAATGTTTTTTCTCTTGTAAAGATAATCAGGGACATACTAGAAAATCTAAGAAATCCTTTTAAAGGTGAACCAGAAATCTCCTTCGACGTAAGACGAGGGACCAACTGCACCCTTAACGAGTTTCAACGGAAGAATCATCCGTTTCGCCGGTTCGATCTCGAAATTCAGCAGTATTTTGAACAGCAGAGTTTTCATCTCGATCAGAGCAAACCTGGAAGCTATGCAATTCCTTGGTCCCAATCCAAAGGGCATGTAGTAGTAAGGGTTGATATTTTTGTGATCGGAAAATCGTTCTGGGTCGAATTTCTCTGGATCTGGATAGAAATTAGGGTCCCTGTGGATAGCTATCGTCGGAATAATTATCATTATTTTTTGATTTTCCAAAGTGGAAATAGGTTTTTCTTGAGACGTTTGAGGAGAAATAATGTATGGTTTAGTGCAAACTCTATCCACGCGACTAAAGGGTGGCCATTTTCTTAATATTTCTACTGACGAATTAAAAATAAATTCTATATCTTTTTTTTTTTTTTTTTTTTAAAAAACATAAGCTAATATTAAAGCTGGGAATATTAATTTCGTAACAAACATATAACAATGCAATTTTTTTTAAAACTTTAATAAATAAGTGTTAAATAATGATCGAGTTTTTCGTTTAAAAAAAATTAATTTTTAACAAAAAATGAGAAATTTATATACTGGTTTTTACAGCTTTAAATGCAAGTTTTGCAATGCTAGCAGTACCAACATATAGTTTAACTTTTGATTTAGCATGCTAAAATATTGTTAGTTTTAAATTATTATTTTTTTATAAATCTATATACAGTGTGACCCACTCAAGACCGGGCAACCTCCATAAAATCTGTGTTTATAGTCCGATTTTGATGATTTTTTTTTCAAATATAAGTTTCAAAAAATGTACTTTAAGGCTCAATGTCATGTTATTTCACAAAAAACAAGGTCTAACTTAATAAAGTTTTTGTGGTGAAAAAATTTGCAAAATTTCATATTAAGCGATTTTTTTTCAAAAAATTTGAAGTACAACCATACATTTCGGCATCCCCAAAAACAGTTCTGTACCAAATTTCGTTTAAAAATATTAATTATTTAATAATTTTTTTTTTTTTTTTTGTTTTAAAGTCTTCATTTTTTGCCAATTTAACGATGAGTATCAAGTAACCCTTGAAAAAACAATCCACAACAATGGGTTTTATTAGCTGTCAATTCTTGCAGCGTAGAATTAAATATTAATTTAATACATAAAACATAAAAAAAAAAAAAATGCAAGAAAATATTATTTGCATTATGGAACAATTAAATATAAGGGATAAAATTGAAATTATTCGTTTAGTGGGTGATAACTATCTCCAAGCAAGAGAAGCTGCCAGAGAATTTAATAACAGACATCCTGACAGACCTGCAGTAAGTAGAAGCACGGTTCAACGAATAAATAGAGTTTTTAATGAAACTGGTTGTTGTCAAAATACTTAACTAAAAAGAACAGAAGGCCGGAACATCGAATAAATAGGCGAAATGAGGAAATATTAGAATATTTTTCGTACAATAGCTCGTGCAAAGCATTAAGGCGCCAAGTGTGTGATTTGAGTATGACCTCAAAGGGAAAATATATTTTAATTTTTTTATTTATTATTAATTTTTTAATATTTATATTTTTATATTTTTTAGAGATGTTTGCGAAGCTAATAAAGTTAAATCCCCTTTAAACCCAAAAGATTTACGCACTTTGGAAAACGGAGATGAAGTTAGACGATTAGAATTTCTGCTTATGGGCTCAAGCAGAGTATTTAAAAATAATAGAAATTTCTTAGAAAGACATTTTATTTAGCGATGAGGCAACATTTAGTACAAACGGAGTAGTATCCTCTCAAAATTTGCGATTCTGGGCAGTCGAAAACCCTGAATGGGTGATCGATACAAGAAGACAGTATTCTCAGAAATTAGATGTGTGGTGTGGCATACTTGATGATAGAATGCATTGGTCCATATTTTGAGAAATTGAAATGCTAACTTTTAATTTTCTGATTAATGGCTTTTGGGATGCAATACATAATTTGCCATGCCAAACCCGTTGATTTAAAATTTGCAATTGAGTGGAATCCATCGTCTGTGCGCATAACGCGGCAGTTGTCAGGGAATGGTAAATGAATTTTGAAAATAAGTGGATAGGTCGAAATAGCCGGCTAATTGAGTGGCCACCGAGATCCCCGGACCCAACACCGCCTTGATTTTTGCTTTCTTTGGGTTTCATTAAAAGCAACAAGAGTTATCAAGTCTAAACGCTCAATCTGTAGAGTGAATTACGTATTAGAAATACAGAGGCTTCTGCAAATATTACACAACAGCAGCTTAGGAATGTAACTGTTAATCTAAGATAAAAGATTCTATATCTATATATATATATCTGAATGGAGGACTGGTAGAAGCAACTAGAATTATTTGAATATGTTTTAACTTCATTATTCGGTTATTGTGTTGCTTGTAGTATTTTTATCATTGTTTGTAAAAAAACTCGTTGTCGTGGAATGTTTTTTTCAAGGGTTACTTGTTAACTCATCGTTAAATTGGCAAAAATAGGGCATTATTTAATTTAACTGCAGAAATTATTAATAATTAATATTTTAAACGAAATTTGGTAAAGAACTGTTTTGGGGGATGCCAATTGTAGGGGTGTACTTCAAAGTTTTTTGAAAAAATGAATTCGCTAATATGATTTTGCAAATGTTTCACCACAAAAACTTTAATAAGTAGGCAGCCTTGTTTTTTTTGTGAAAAACAATGAAAATTGAGCGCTATAAAGTACATTTTTTGAAACTTTATATTTGAAAAAAAAATCATCAAAATCGGACTATAAACACAGATTTTATGGAGGGTGCCCGGTCTTGAGTGGGTCACACTGTATAATGGCCGTTTTACAATTTACGTTTTAATAGTTTTATTTTCATATAATATTACTTTAATACTTTTTACGGATTTAAGTTTCGGATGTACAGTGCGTGGAAGTTTCATTTCTATTTGGATTTTTCGCAAAAAAAAAAAGAAAATAATGACGGAAATGTATATTTTTCCCTCAGTAGACAGGTACAGAGGAAAAGTTTACAATTCAAATCAGTTAGAAATATATAGGTGGCGCCCCCCGACAAGTAGGAGTCATATTGACATCGAACTCAAATTTCTCATATCAAAAAACACCCAGACACCATTTTTTATCCAGATATCGACTATTGTTCAAAAATTATTTGGAAAAACAAATGAAATAACAATAAAACTTCTTCACCCTACATTCCGAAATGAAGTATTTTATTACATAAATTTAAACTAACTTTTTTACTTTTTATTTTTATCTGCAGAATATGCTGCCAAAGTTTCCCGAAGACTATTCGGATCACCCTGTATAATAAATTCAATTTTCTAAGGATCAAAAATATAGAGATTTGTTGCTATAATTTAGTATCCAACTTTCACATTATAGAATACAAACAGCAATTGATTATTTTTTATAATTCTTTTATTAGTGGGAAGAACTTGATGCTACATTATGGCGTAAAATTAATGAATTTGTTAAATTCGTTTCAAACTAAACCAGAAACCTCCTTCTGAACTATGCGTAAATCCATCTTTAACCAACTTCATTGGAATGTTGGTTTTCTTACTCGGTAATAATTCAAAATTATTCAACAACTTAAAAAGCAAAACTTTTATCTCTAGCAGGGCAAATCTGGACCCGATACAATTCCTCGGTCCAACACCGAACGGCAGATAAGTGTAGGGTTTGATATTGTGTTTGTTTTCTTCCGAGAATCGCTCAGGATCAAACTTATCTGGATTTTGGTAATTTTCGGGATCTCTATGAATTGAAAAATACGGAAACCAGATAGTTGTGTTTTCTGGAATTTGCACAGGTACTTCTCCAGGTCTGGTGGCTTCCAAAGTGTACGCTTTGGTACATACTCGGTCTATAGCGACGAAGGGAGGCCATATTCTCAAAACCTCTGTAAAAGATCCAAAATTCTAAATAGAGTTTCAGGAAAATAATTATTTTCATAACGGAATGATTAGCGTTTTGCAAAAGGTATTGTCTCAACTATAAATTGGCTTTAAGCACTAAATAACACTACAGAGATATTTATCAAGTGAATATATTTTCTTCTTATAACAGAATCATTAGTAATTACTTAAGTTTATGGTTTATTTTTTTAAAGCCAAACCAAAACCCTCCTTGTGCAGTGTGATTGAATCCGTCTTTTGCAAGCTGCATGGGAATTCTCGTTTTTGGCGTAGGGATCAACTCGAAATTAAGCAAGATTTTGAACAGCAATACTTTAGCCTCCAACAGTGCGAACCTGGATCCAATACAATTTCTCGGTCCAACGCCAAATGGTAGGTAAGTATAGGGCTTGATACTGCCCTTGTTCTCTTCTGAGAAACGTTCCGGATCGAATTTATCAGGATTGGTATAGTTTTCTGGAGAGCGGTGAATGGCAAAGGTCGGAATCCAAATTGTGTCGTCCAGTTTTATTTCGATGTCCCTTTCTTCCTTTTTGACTGCTTGTAGGGTGTAAGGTTTGGTACACTGGCGATCTTTGACGATTACTGGAGGCCATTTCCTTAACATTTCTAAAATAAATCGATGAATATTATAGTTTTTTCTTCAACAAAAAGTGTTAGATAGAGCGCAAGCATTAAGAACACTACGTAAAAATTTTATAACGTGTATTTTAAATGTTATGCTTTGTAAAATTATGCTTGGATTCGTTTCAGCCCAAACCAAAACCCTCCTTCAGCAGTGTGATTTAATCCTCCCTTGGCAACCTTCAAGGGAATTATAGTTTTTGCCGTGGGAATCAATTCGAAATTAAGTAGTATCTTGAACAACAATACTTTGACCTCCAATAGAGCGAACCTGGATCCGATACAATTTCTGGAACCCACACCGAATGGGAGATAAGTGTATGGCTTAATGTTGCCCTTGTTTTCATCCGAGAAACGTTCTGGATCGAACTTTTCAGGATTAGGATAGTTTTCTGGACACCTGTGAATAGCGTGAGTCGGAATCCAGATCATGTCGTCCACTTTGAATTCGATATCTTTCTCTTCTTTAGTAGCTGTTCGCAGGGTGTAAGGTTTGGTGCATATGCGGTCCTTAGCGATTATAGGAGGCCATTTTCTTAACATTTCTGAAATAAACCGAGCAGAAGTATAGTTTTTTATTTGAAAGAAGCATTCGAAGGAGCTGTTAGCAATCAGAATATTATATAAAACCATAAAACCCACACTTAGTATAAAATGAAATGCTTAGATTCGTTTCAGTCCAAACCAAAAGCCTCCTTCGGCTTTCACAGCAAAATCTTTCGACAGTGTGAGAGGAATTTTTGTTTTTTTCGTAGGGATGATCTGGAATTTAGACAGTATTTTGTAGAGCAAAACTTTGGTTTCTAACAGCGCGAATCTGGACCCTATACAATTTCTAGGTCCTTCACCAAAGGGCATATAAGTGTAGGGTTTGATATCATTCTTATTTTCATCAGAAAATCTTTCTGGGTTAAATTTTTCTGGATCGGGATAATTGTCGGGATCCCTATGAATACCATGGACTGGAATCCAAATTTGAGAGTCTTTTGGTAATTCAATTGTTGGCTGTTCGGAATTTCCTGTTTGTAAAATGTATGGTTTGGTACATATGCGATCCAACGATGCTCCTACAGGCCATTTTCTTAGAATTTCTGTAATAAATATTCTGATATTAGTATTTCTCTTATCCAAATCTAAGTGAACGTTTATTTTGTGAATTAGTTTCGTATATCAACATTTACATTATTATCCTTTTTAAACATAAAAATATTCTTAACACATTCTGCTTTTTATTCATCAATATTTTTCAGAGCAAAGCAAAATTCAATTTCCGCAGTAAGTTTTATGAAGCCTTCGATACCTTTGGTAAAATCGTAGTTTGTTTCATGGGAACAGTTTAAACATTTAGCGATATTAAAAAGTAATATTGCTCGGAAAGCCATACAGATAAGTGTAGGATCTAATTTTATCTTTTCTTCCATCGACTTTCTATAGATTGAGATAACTTTCTCAATGGTAGAATTTTATATAGATTGAGATAACTTTCTGAATCTTTTTGTAATTCGGCTATCGGTATCCAAATTTTTGTTACATTATTGTGAGCAGACCGATCACCATGTTGCTGTGCTGTAATGGTGTAAGGTTTGATGTAAACCATAATTTCTGACGGAGTCCATTTTCTCTGGAAGGAATTGTCGAAATGTGTATTCTACGTACAAACACGCATATTCTTGTAAATTAAATTCGTCATATAAGCTAACATGCTTTATATTTCTTGGAAATTTTAACAAAATGCGCTGTTAAATACATTTTTTATCTACTATAAATTAGTTTACTATAATAAAATATTTAGATATCTGTAGGTACACTATGTTTAATTCATGGCACGTTTCAATCCAAACCAGAAACCTCCTTCTGCAGTATGATTCAGTGATTTTCTCGCTAATTTCAATGGAATAAGCGTTTTATCAGTAGGAACCAACTCAAAATTTAATAATATCTTGAACAGCAACACTTTACATTCCAATAAGGCAAATCTGGATGCAATACAGATCCTTGGCCCTGATCCGAAAGGAATATTAGTATAAAGCTTAATCGAATCCTTGTTTTTGTCGGAAAATCGTTCTGGATCAAATTTTTCAGGTTCAGGGTGGAACTCAGCATCTCTATGTATCCCATGAATGGGTAAAAACACCGTAGTACCGACGTCGATGTATAGTGGTCGTTCTCCAGGCAGTTTGGGTTGAATGGTATATGGCTTGGTGCAAATTCTATCCACTGCGACTGCGGGTGGCCATTTTCTTAATATTTCTAGAACAAATTCACATAATCAGTAACTGATTTCGACCGTCGGAGCAGATAGAATTAAAATCTTTACCACAATTCAACAGTCTAAATCAATTAACTAAGTTTTTAAAAAAGCAAACTATATATTTATTAGGCATCATTATTCTAAAATGTATTTTTCAGGCATCAAAGTCGTTTCAGGCTTAGCCAATAACCCCCTTCAACGTTTAAGGTTAATGATTTTCTGGACAGCTTAATAGGACTCTTGGTTTTTGAGTTTGGAAGAATCTCGAAATTGTAGATCAACTTAGAGAGAAGTGCCTTAATTTCCAAAAGGGCAAATCTGGAGGCGATGCAATTTCGGGGTCCTACACCGAACGGTGTGTAGGTAAAAGGCGGTATTTTCCCTTTATTTTCCTCCGAGAAACGTTCAGGGTCGAATTTTTTCGGATCTGGGTAATGGTTTGAATCCAGATGGAGACCTGTTGTTGGAATGATCACCATCATGTCCGTTTCGATGGTAATAGGTTTCTCCGACGGGTTTTTTGCTGCGATAGTGTAGGGTTTGGTACAGATACGATCGGTAGATATGTTTGGTGCCCATTTTCTCAATACTTCTAAAATGGAAACCAAAAGTTTTTATTGCAGACTTCTAGCGATGATCTTATCACCCGTATGTGTTTAAAATTTCGAAGCCGATGTAATAAAAAATGAACAAGAGTAAATATAAATGTTGTAATAGAATGCTCATAATATAATGTGGGTAAATACTTTATTATCTGTTTTTATTTTTATCGGAGGATTAATGTGATTAATCTCTGTTAAACAGATTAAACAGTTATGTTGCTTTTTAGACATATGTTTTATAAATAGTGTTTTTTGAGTTTATTGATGTATACCGGGTGCGTCTCAAAAGTGGCTCACCCCTATAATAACTTTTTTATTTTTTCAGATAAAAAAAACGAGATTTGGTATGTAAGTATATGACATAAATTACGATTGATTGACGTATTCATTTGTTTTTGGTCACTTCCTGTTTCACCGGAAATGACTATAAATTTTGTTTTTTAAATGGCACCCTCGGTTTTTTTACTCTATTCGATAGAAAGTGAAATTCTGAATAGTATGACATATCATATCTCAACTTTTGACATTTTCGCTTAATAAAAAATCGCATTTTAAATTTAAATCTAGAGTACCATGGCTATGTTAAAAACACTAATTTATGATTTTGTGAGCCACTATTGAGACGCACCCGGTCTAATAAATAACGGAAAACAAGATAAGCGACAGATTCTAAAACTAAAATGACTTCTAAGAAGCAAAAGCCAAGCATAGTTAGTTGATTAAAAGATAAAAATTTCCTTGTTTTGTATCGTTCGAACTTACCCGACACCACCATATCCAAGTATTTCATTTTCAAGAGTACATCGTAGGTAATTTTTCCATCGTTTTCTTTGTAGGTCGTCCTGATTTCCTCTCTCAGTCTGTCTTGGACGTCTTTATTAACGGCCAGCTCGTAAGATCCGAAACACATAGCTGTCGAAATGGTGTCAAAACCGGCAAAAAAGAAAATCAAGGCTTGCGATGTAATATCGTCGTTTGTTAAGGTCTTTAGCTGTTTAAATTTGCCTGAAAGTACGACTTACTTAGTTAAAAGACCTGAAAATTGGATAAATTTGTCTTTACCCATATCGGAAGATTCTTGTACTGTGGCAAATCCAGTTTCAACAGCCCCATTTTCTTCATGCTTGATGCCTTTCCTAGCTTCCAAGAGCATATTGATCATATCAGGTCTAACAATGTGATTGTCCTCTCTAGTTTTGATTGTTTCATTAATGATGGTTTTGAAGAACATAGAAGCATCTCTGTCCAGCAAGGCTATTTTCAATTTCTAAATATGGACGTTAGATATTAGAAGAATATTAGTTATGAAAATATTTTTAACAGTACTGATTTATCTATTATTATATGCATGCCAATTAAAACTGCGTTCTGTTATTTGTACGCTAAATGAATATTTAAAAATATAGTTAGAACATTGTTGCAAAACTGCGCCTTAATTTAGTAGAAAATAAAAACATCAATGCAAATGGGTGAATGTAATCAATCATGCTCTATAATTTTGAATATATTTTCACTTTTAAAATAATTTGATAATAATTATAAACAATTAAATGTGATTTAAAAAATAACTTTGGATTTTATTATCAAGCATTTGAGTGTTGCCATAGTATCCTTGAATGTGGTATATAATGAAAATGATCCAGTTATGAAACGAAAAGGATTTCGAACTTCCATTGTCTTTATTTATTTTGATTAACACCACGTTTCGGTCAGAATGATCACTGACCGTTATCAAGTGTAAAATAATTGCTAAAACTACTGCGCTTTTATATTATTACAGTCTTCGATCACAGGGTATGAGTATGCTCAAATCAAAAAACAATAATTGTTTATTTCGCCAGTTAATAGTAAACAAATTTTCTGATTTTTTTTTCTAATATTGATAGCAATTATTATTGTCATTGTTAATAAAAGCTAATGGAAGAGAGATGTTATATATTTTATGCACTTCAGATTTGTGTTAAGGCGATAAGATACTATAATGAATAATAATTTATTTATACTCTTAATGTTTAATTTTATAAGAAATTCGTACCTTATAGATTGTCGGGAAAACAAAGAAACCAAAAAATTTCAGGGTGGTGATGATACCAGTAAAGTTTGTCATTTTTTTACCCATCAAGTAAAATGTGTTCTTCGGTTCAGCAAGAGAATCGACTTTGATACCAAAAGCTGTAGTGGCAATCACGTCATTTGTGTATCTAAACAATAAAGTCTTGATTTAAAATACCAAGTATAAATAAAAACTACATGTTAGTTCTTTACTATAGACATTTCTGCACAAGTGTATACTTCTTTACTCGAACAAAAAAACACATTCTAAGATATAAAATAGGTCAAGAACTGGACAAGATACAATAAAATGCAGAATATTTTACCAAAATAATACTTTAAATCTCTATTACCTCGTATAGGTGTCTTTCATTTCTAACTCGATGAGATCCTCCTTTTTATCCAAAAAGTACTGAACAAAATTGTCAGCAGCTTCGTCCATCAAGGCAAACATAGTCTTCATTTTAGAACTTGTGAAAGAACCGCTAAGGGTAGCTCTCATTTCCCTCCATCTTTGACCTATTTAAAAAAGGACAATTATGGTTTGAAGTAATATAAAAGTAAATAAATGTACCTTTCAAGGAAAACAAGTTTCCACCCCACAACGGATCTGCATCGGGATCAACAAAGCTCCTGTGATCGGTAAAATGATCGAAATCTTTCACAGTGATCTGCTTGATCAATTCAGGATCCCGCAACATTAATGTCGGTGTGTAAAATTGATAGAATCCTACATATCTTTAAAAGAAACCTCGTATTTTAGGGTGTATATTTTTATTATATGTACATTCAGATGCAAAAAACACAACAGAAAAAATGTTCGTCAAATTTAAAGTGTTATATTTTCTTTATTTTAAGACCTATTTTCATGATTAATTTAGCAAACTGTATATAAATATATCTACTTTAATTAATAAACTTAGTTTTTGTATAAACTTTTGTATTTGGCTTTTTATATAGGGGTAATTAAAGGGTTGTTTTTACCTAACTTTAATACACTATGTGCAATAATTTCGTGAGTAAATTTTCTTAAAACACTATTTTTCGGTCAGAACAATAGTCAGAACCAAGACTCTTGAGCATTTTGTTTTTTGGCTCATATCAACACGTCAACACATGCCTGCACAAATTCATGAAAATAGATCCAAAAATAAAAAAATACAAGACTTTAAATTTGATGAAAAGTTTTTTTTTCCGATGCGTTTTGTTGCATCTGAGTGTAAAATTGTCGACATTAATTTACACTCTTATTTACACTAATATAAAAGTTATTACAATTCGGCGTATGACCAAAATCATTCTTTATAGATAACTAGCTTAGAGTTAATTTGAGAAAATCAAGAACATTCGTGTGAAAAGAATGCAGACGTACAGAAGATACAGCAAGTAAATTAAGGAAAAAAGAAAAATTATGGTGGTACCTTTCATTGGGATACATATTGTAAATCCATTCTACAAATTCACTAAAGCTCATTCTTCTGAACAAGGTCGTCCATGAATCTCCAAGGAATATCCATGGTTTAGTCTGTTTCACACCTCTGTCTGACCAATAATGTAGGGGTTTTACGAAAAGGTACCATGTCAAAGCGGCTACTATAGCCGCCCCTATCAACCAAATCATACTCGACACCAAAAACTACAATAACAAACTATTAAAACAATGTTTAAAACGTCCGTTTTGGTCAAATTGAGTGTTACAATTAAGCAAGATTTAATTATGACTTCATTGAAATTAATATGACAGCTTTTATTTACAGATATTATCAGAAACTTATCTATTTTAATTGATATTAGTAATATTGTTTTTTTCTCGGAGGCTTAAGGAGACAAAGCCGTTTTGAGTGATTTGTTTTCCGAGACTGGTGAATGATACAAAATTGTGCAATATTTCAATATAATTGATAGATATCTACCTATATTTAATTATATTAAGATTGCTATCTATAGAATATTAGAAAAGATAGAAGCATTAAATAATATAAATAAAAAAGTTGTTACAATATCAAGTGTTATAATTAGTCTTATAAGTCTTATAATTAATTTAAAATGTATTAGATGATTCTATATGTTTGTAATTTGTACGAGTAGTAGCTTTGGGTTTTGTATTACAAAATACTACAAAATAAAAATACAGATAGCAAAATTATATACAGGGTGGTCCGAATGTATTCGGGGAACTTCGGCAGCATATTCTGCAGATAAAATAAGTTCGTATAAAAGTATGCTTTAGAATACTCCGTCTCGAAGATTCAGGGTGTGGAAGTTTCATTTTTATTTCGATTTTTTCCAAATAATTTCTGTACTAACATCGATATTTGAATCAATTTGGCGTCTCGGAGTTTTTTGGCATGTGAAAATTGATTTCAATATGAATATGACTCCTACCTGTAGGTGACGCCACTTACATATTTTTTAACTGGTTTGAAAAGCAATGACTTTTCGTCCGTACCTGTGTAAAACTACTGAGTGTACATATATACATTTCGGCTATTAAAACGTAAAAAGGGTCTCTTGGTAAAAATGGAATAAATGGTTTCGAGATACTTGGAATCGAAATAATCAATACATGTCATCATTAACAAAAATTGAACATGTTAGTTGTAAAAGTGAAAATAATACATTCTTATGGAGCCGATTAATCGATTATTTTAGTTACAAATCTGTAACTAAATAGTCGAGCGACTAAAAATTGTCTATCAGCGCCAGCGCTTAGCTAAAGGATACTCTTTGAACTCTAAAATTTAACTAACAGAGAAAAATTTTAGACAATTATAATAGCAAAATTGGCCATTTCAGAATGTAAACACATTATTGCGAATTGAACGAAATTAAATGATACACAAGGTCATCTAATGTCTGCAATTTTAAACTAATTCTATTTTGTTGTTTTCCTATTTCATTGACCATGCAAGGTTGTGAACATTTATTATACAATAATGCTTGTAGAATAATGTTATGCTTTTTATTGAAAAACAAAAAAAAACTATCTTAATAAACAAAAATCTAGCTTTCAAGAGATTAAAACGCTTTATTGAAATATTTTCAAAAATATTATTTTTACTAAAATTTTACACTTTCGATCATTTCATATCTTTCAAATCAAAATTATCGAACAGGTGTTTTTTCACTTGAACTATGTATCAATAAATAAAGCATATAATCAAAGAGTAACAAATAAATAATTCAATTTGGTCTTGTAACAACATTAAACTCACTTGTCTATCAAAATGGCACACTTTTCAAGCGATCACAATAAAAAATAAGACGCAACAGATTTTGAACAGGATGAATTTATCAAAACAGATTGTTTACTATTGAAGGTTTCGCAAGAGGCGCATTGAAATGACTACGCTAAAACAGGCAGAGCATTGAATTATATGGGCACGCTAAATTTAATTTCATGCTGTCATGTTTATCGACATGATTAAATGATTAGGTTTACACTGCATAAATCAAATATAATTTGATTTATTCCAGTATATTTTTTACTTTTAATATTTGTAATTTACAAATAAAATATGTTAAGAAATGTTACATACACTAAGCAAATCAATTCGTACCTTTAAAATAAGGATTGTACAAGTACGAGGATTTATATTGTTTTTTTGAGTTACAAATAATATATATTTTTTAGAATATTTTCTGTTGATAGAAAAAACCTAATGTACTATCTGCGTAGAAATTTATTAATAAATATAATACCTATCAACTAGAGAAACATTGTCAAATTATGCAATACTAAGAATTCGTAGGTCGGTCACAAACTGGTACAGTACCTGTTATTCTCTAAGTTTGTTATTATCTCTCGTTGGAGCTCTGAACATAAAATGCTATTGCACAATATAACAACTTAAAAAATATTTATGAAATAATAATAATAGGTCACTTGTTATGAGCCATTTGAAAACATTTGCAAAAGCACATGAATTTGAATCAGTAATGTAAATTAATTTAAGTGACCTTATAGGATCACTTTCTCTGTCCGTCTGTCTGTCTATCAAGACCCTTTATCTCGGGAACGCGTGAAGGTATCGAATTTTACCCAAGACCTTATAGACCAAGGGCTGTAGACCATATACTCAGGTCTACAGCCCCTCGAAGCTGTGACAATACAAAACTATTTATGCCGCAAAAAACGTATATTTCGACACTCTCAAAGAAATCAGAATTTATAGGGTATTTCCCGTTGACCTAGAACTAAGAAATTAGGCAAGTAATATCGTCTTATACTACTATAAGTATAGGGACAAATCTGAAAACTATACAGTATATACAGAATATATACAGAATTCTAGAAAGTAAACGTAAAAGAAGTAAACTTTGCATAGCGAAGGTAAACTGTACATAAAGAGAAATAATATAAACATCAACAAGTCTCTAATAATTTTATCACTGACGAGAGTAGGAGCACACAAGTTTATTTTTTACTTCGATCGAAACAATAATCCAGGAAATTAGATTTAATTGCACGTGGGCTCCTACATTTATTACTGCATTTTTAGTTTGATGTTTTGTTGCAAGCAAGTTACGTCGCAAAAGAGAAAATGTTATTGCTAACTATAATATCCTCAGCTTTTTTTATACTTTTTTTGATATGGTACTACGGAAAGCGACCTTTAAGTTACTGGAAAAGAGAAAAGGGCGTTAAACAGGGTGACCCTTGCATATTTCTGGGGGATACTTCTCAGACGACTTTACAAAGAATGTCTTTGTATGAATTCGTGCAACATGCTTACAAAATGTTTCCCAATGAACGGTAAGTGGCAAACACACAAAAATATAATTATAACAATCAATTAATATTTTGCTCTCAATACCGGGTGTTTCTCAAAAGTGGCAAACCCCTATAACGTTTTCATTTTTTACATAAAAAAAGTGATTTGGTACGTTATATGACATAAATCAGGGATTGATTGACGTATTAATTATTTTCGGTCACTTTCTGTTTCACTGGAAATTACTACAACTTTTGATTTTTAAATAACACTTTCGGTATTTTTTTACTTTATTTGATAGAAAATGACACTCTGAATAGAATTACATAATATTATATGTCAACATTTGACATTTTCGCATATGGTTTATTTGATATTGTAACATGCGGTTTATAACAATTTGATTCTGAAATACCTAGTGTATGGTACCAAATAATCCGTAAAAAACGATTTTTAGAAATATGCTAATGAGCCACCCCCGTTCTATTTGAAAAAAATGAGATATGATTAAAAATAAGATTTGGGCAGTTTTTAACCCGCCAGGACAAGACACGAAATAAATTAGTCGATAAAAGCTATTTTTCCAAGACTCCTTGATTAAAAATTAGTGATTTTAACTACTAGATTACTACTTAGATACACTCCAGATTGAAACTTAAAATATATTTTTTATTGTAAATTCTCTTAACACAAACCCGTTATTTACCTTATTTACCAAATAGATAACAATGCAGAAACAAAACAGGACGCATGAATAATGATACTGTTGTAGATATTCTGGAATGTACCTTTTTACTAAACCTGTTCTGTTGATCCGTGATCCAGAACTGATCAAACTGATCACGGTTAAGGATTTTGATCATTTTGCCGATCACAATATAGCGATCGAAGCCGATGTGGACCCCCTATGGGGTGGAAATCTCTTAGCATTAAAAGGTATTAATATAAATGAGAATTTTTAAATAAAATAATGTGTATAATGTGTATTTGTAAATTTATGTGATAATTTTTTTGTAAGGTCAAAAATGGCGTCACATGAGAACAACTATCAGCCCTTTCTTCACTATCAGTAAAATCAAGATAATGACCGGTCTGATGACAAATACAGCTGAAAATTTTGTTAATTATTTCTGGAAAAAAGAAGAAAATGTAGTCGAAGTGGAATTAAAAGATATTTATACACGGTACCTATAACTCATTTTTAGTTAAAGTTTTTATAAAAATAGTTTTTTTAAGAATTGTTTTATTTATAGGTACGCAACAGACGTTATTGGTTCCACTGTTTTCGGTATTAACGTCGACTCGTTAGAAAATCCAAAAAACGAATTTTATCAAACGGCTTACGATATTACAATGAAAAACGGAGTATTAAAACTGCTGAAGCTATTAGCATATATTCTTGCACCTGGTTTATGCAAAGTAAAGCTCTAAATAACGTGATAGTATGTGTAGAAATAATATTTCAGTTTGAGATTTATTAAAGCACATTACTAAAGTTCTTGGCTGTGACAGCTATTGTATGATTTATTTCTCTGATCTTACGAAATAAGTTTTATATAAAGAAATATATAAAACAATAACTAAATCTTTTAAATCTATACTTTATTAGAAATGTTGCAATTAGTAGTAAAGTTCATACAGAAATATTGTTTCTACGCTTAACAGTATATAACGTAGGTTTACTATATCCTCCTTTTTCAACAGTTTTTTGGTGTTAGACTTATTGAAAGAGATATATTTGATTACTTTTGCAATATAATCTCAGAAGGAATGAAGATGAGGAAGGAACAAGGGTTAACTAGGCCTGATCTAATCAATTTATTTGTAGAACCGAGGAAAGCAAATAAACCTGTAGAAAAGGAACCAGATATTTTATTAGATGATGATATGGATCAGTGTAAAAGAATTTTTTCAATAATGTTTATTAATGATTTAAATAAGGATCTATTCTAGGTAGTCAAGACCCTCACAGGGAATTCACAAATGCGGAAATAACAACGCAAGCTCTAATTTTCTTCTTTGCTGGCTTCGATACGGTATCTACGGCCCTCTGTTTTGCTACATATGAACTGGCTATTAATCCAATTATACAGAGCAAGTTAAGGGATGAAATCAACCGTGTTTGGACGAAAACTAAAGGAAATATTAATTATGAACTGATTTCAGACATGAAATACTTGGATATGGTTCTTTCAGGTACATGGATTTATTGTAGTAAAAGAATTAATATTAAATAAAGTTATATTTTGTTAGAAATTTTAAGAAAGTGGCCTCCAGCAGTGCTTCTTGATCGTTACTGCACAAAATCTTACACCGTTCAGGCTACAAATTCAAAAGAACAACGTATGACCATCGATCGAGGTCAAATGATTTGGATCCCTGTCCAGGGTATCCATATGAACCCTGATTATTATCCAGATCCAGAAAAGCTGGATCCTGAACGGTTTTCTGACGAGAATAAAAGCAAATTATTTCCTTATACTTACCTGCCCTTTGGTATTGGACCAAGAAATTGTATTGGCATGAGGTACGCTCTTTTGGAAATTAAAATTTTGCTGGTACAGTTATTGCACCGTTTTGAGATAGTTCAGATTGATAAATCAGTTGTTCCAGTAAAGTTAAAGAAATCTGGAATATATCATAGTGCAGATGGAGGATTTTGGTTTGGATTCAAAAGATTACATTTATGAATAAGTGCTTTGTTGTGTATCATTAAGAGTTATCTGTAATATATTTTCTTTTTCTAGACTTTGTTGTATTCGATATCAGTTTAATTATCTATAAATAAAAAATATGAAATTTTGAAAAGGGTACAAAATAAAAATAAATGGGTTATATAAATTAATTTGTCGGATTGCAATAAAGATTATAAATAAAACACATCTTGTTATTATACCCTATGATCCCATCCATTCAAAATTGTCGATAAGTATAATCCATTTTATTTATAAGTGGCAACAATATTACTTATATTTTATTTTTTAATTTTATTGGTATCGAATTCGAATGGCTTTAACTCAGTTTAGGTCTGGATGGATCTAAAGTTCAGGTAGTTATTTTACGGAAAATTACACAAATCTATCATAATAAATACGAAACACTTTCTTTCAAGGTGTTTAAATAAGTGTTCATTAAAGATTTTTTGCATTGTGACAGATATAATCTATACAAGGTGCTACAAATTCGAGGTACGAGCATTGGTATATCGGAAACCGTAATCGAAAATGATTAAATTGGAGCAAAGTTGCTCCTTGGCATGTTCACCAAGATGCCATCAAGAAAGTTTTACATATTTCAAGGATTGCTGAGTTTAAAAAAACAGATTTTTTTGAAAATCAATTTTATTTTTTCCTCTCGTTACTTTTTAGAAAATCAAAAAACTAATTACACATTCTCATAGCCACTTTATTAGGGCTATCTGATAGTATTTTTAGATTTTCAAATTAGTTATAATAAAGATAATTTGTGAGATACAAAGGCCAACTTAACTTTTTTTAAGTACGGACCTGCACTTTTTATTTCAGGTTTTGAAAGAACTCGATCTCCTGAGTACAACGATACACTTGATACTTTTTTTTGTTTTGGGTACCTTAACAATAACAAAACTATTTAATTAAAATTGATAATGTGTAATAAATACTTCTAATTTTATAAATAGCCATATTTTTATTATGTTACCATGACAGATACTTCATTTTTATACAAAACGTACATTAATTCAATGAATTAAGTATTTAAAAAGATTAGGAAAAAGTAAAAGTAAAAAATTTTTTTTTTTTTATTTTTTAAAAACAATATCTAATATTAATCATAACATATAATATACCTATTGTATTACAGTATTACATAAATTTATGTACATTGATAAATAGCTACTAATTAACTCTGAATCTTCTTTAGTCCAAACCAAAACCCGCCTTCAGCGGTATGAGCGACCGAGGTGCTCAACTTCACCGGAATCACAGATTTTTCAATTGGAACGATCTGAAAATGGTACAACAAATGTACCAACAAGGTTTTCACTTCCAGAAGAGCAAATCTCGAACCTATACAATTTCTAGGACCTGATCCAAACGGTATGTAGGTGTAGGGCAGAATTTTCTCTTTGTTTTCGTCAGAAAATCGCTCAGGATCTAGTTTTTCCGGATCAGGATAATAAGCTGGGTCCCTGTGGATACCCTGGACGGGAACCCAGACCATATCACCTTTTCTAATCTGAAATGCTGTTTCTCCAGGATTTTGAGGGGTAATTGTGTAGGGCTTGGTGCAACGACGGTCTAAAGATATTGCTGGAGGCCATTTTCTTAAAATTTCTGTAAGAAAAAAATACAATTTTTGAAAAAGATACCGTAAAAATATTACGCATACCAGAAACGACCATATCTAAATACTTCATTTTTAAAAGTACGTCGTACGTAATTTTTCCGTTAGTTTCGTTCCAAGTTTGTCTGATCTCTTCTCGCAGTTTATCTTGAATTTCCTGATTCACTGCCAACTCATACGACCCAAAACAAAGTGCTATGGATACGGTGTCGAACCCAGCGAAGAAGAATATAAATGCTTGTGCGGTTATTTCCATGTTTGTAATATATTTGTGATGTTTTTGAGTGTAATCTAAAATAAACACATCTATGTATATCTATGTATAACCTTCACAATTGTTTTAAATATATTTTTTTTATTTTTACCATCAGAATGTTTAGCTGGATTCGAATCATTCGCAGTACTATTTCTGAGTTCTAAGAATAAATTTATCAAGTCCGGTCTAGATATGCCTTTTTCTTCTCTCGCTTTGATGGTTTCCTCTATGACGTTGACAAAGTAATCGGTAACTTTTTTATCAGAAAATTTCAGATCAAAGAACTAATTAAAATAACTTGTTTTAGAATTTATTTAGTCAAGGTAGTCTAGTATCTTTTGGATTTTATCAAGATTACCCAATAATGTTAATATCCAAGAATACATAAGAAATAAACATTCTGCTGAAAGAAACTAGACCACCATCTATTAGATTAGAGTTTTGGTAATACCTTGCACACTTTAGGCATAAAGAAGAACAAGCAAAATTTCAAGGTTTTAAGAATACCAGTCATGTCTGTTATATTCTGACCCATTTTATAAAAACTATTGTTCGGTTCTTTGAGAGAATCCACTTTAATTCCAAAGGCTGTGGTGGCAATGACATCATTAGTGTACCTAAAAAGAAGATATATCTTTAATTTATGTTACTCTAGTTTTTGAGATAAATAAAAAATACCTTGTGAATGTCTCTTTAAGTTCAACTTCAATCAAATCGTCTTTCTTTTCTAAGAAAAATTTGACAAAATCTTTAGCTGCTTCTGCCATTAACTCATACATAATCTTTATTTTACTACTTGTAAATATGGGGCTCACAGTTGCTCTCATATCTCTCCATTTTTGCCCTTAAAACAATTACAAACATCATCAAATAGGACACAAGATACTGTAATTAATTATTAATCATTATACATTCGTAAAAAAGCAAGAATTGTACAGGGGTCGTTTATGATAGCAACAAGGTTATACTATTATACGATAGACAATACGAAACAGAGATATGAATAGGTACTACACATCCTAGTATGGTAATTGGTTTTCTCACCACTCAACGCTACCAAGTGTCCACCCATGAGAGGATCAGCATCCACATCAACAAGCGTATTATGATCAACAAAATGATCGAAATCTTTTACTGCAACTGTTTTGATTAATTCGGGATCACGGATCAAAAGGGTGGGTTTTGTAAATTGGTATATTCCAGAGTACCTATAAAATGCCATAAAGGTAAGTTGAAAAAAATTGAAAATAAAAAACTTGAGTTTTAATAATCTGATGTTGCTAACATGCATAGCAAAACGTCCAGTGTAAAAGTAGAAGTGTTTTGGTGTATCGTGGTGAATTAGTGTTTTATCTTGTTTTTCTAACGCCAAAGGTTCCAACTCCCAACTGAAATAAGAAATTAAAATGGACGAAATTTCAAGATCTAACTTTTAATTGGCATTAAAAGGCCTATTTTACAATTTTGCCAACAAGAAAACGCGTGTTTTTTTTGGCGCTCGTGTTTTTTTATTACTATTATTATTTATATTTTAGATAATATCTTGAAATTTCAAACATAAGCAATCTGATAAAAGCTGTTGCGCATGCTATTGCTTATATCCCCACTAATATTTTCTTGCATGTACACATAAAAACAATAAATTATAAATAAACACTTACCGTTCCTCGGGGAACATTTTATAAATATACTCTATGTATTCGCATAGAGACATTTTCTTAAAAATCATTATTCCAGTGTCTCCCAAGAAAAAATATGGGCGTCCTTGTTTGACACCTATTTTTCGCCAGTAACTCAACGGCCTTTTTCCATAGTACCATAGTAGAAACGTAATTAAAATGCCTAAAAACGTAATAGTAAACCAAAACATTATTGTATCGAAATGCCAAGTTTAAACGGTATGGTTTTCTGTAATAATAGAGGTATCTTAATCGATTTTTAAAGATAACTTTCTATTAATATCCACAGCTTATCTTTCACCGTTGCAAGAGCATACTTTAATCTCTCATAATTTCGAGAATTTATTTGCTTTAACTATAGCTATAAATTGATGTTACACAGTTGTGTGTTTAACACCGACGCAATTTTTTGAAGGCTAATATAAAAGTAGCTTTTCGCCATGTGGTGTAAGCCAAGCGTACAGTATTTAAATATTAGTGTTCTCTTGTAATCAAGTACATCACAAGAGGAAAAACTTTTTTATTATTAACCTTTTGAGAAAAATGCCTTCTTCATAAAATATTTTGCTTGTTCTAAAATGGTTAATCTCTTATACTTTTCCAAATTTCCGTTCCGTTTTAAAGAACATTTTTAAAAAAAATACTTGAAAATATTTGTTCATTTTTGTTGAATTTTTCTGGATCCTAAAAACGCGTTTCTATGATGGTAATATAATTTTGTTTTCATTCTTTGATAGATTGTTATTGATAGAATTTTAATTAACGTCATTTTTGCTCTTTTAGTATGTTAAAAAATAACAAAATTTATTTAGTTCAATGCTACGGAAAGGGTATAATAATAGGTATCGGAAAATGTGATATTTTAACATCAAAAAATAAGCAGTTATTCAAAATTAACAATAACCATCTGTCAAAGAATGAAATCAAAATTATATTACCACAGAACTTAGAAAACAAGCATCCATATTTTCATGTTTTTTATTTAATTTTCTCATAACGGTATAGCAATATGAAAAAGTATAATAAAAATACTAATAAAAGTATAGCAAATAGCAATATGAAATATAGCATATATATAATTACGAGATTAACCATTTTAGAATAAAGGATTTTTTTTTGAAAAATGCATTTTTCTCAAAATGTCAATAATAAAAAAGTCTTTTCTTTTGTAAAGTCTACCCGGGGACAGACATTATACAAGTTCTTTATTTCTTCCATCTGTATTAAAATATATAAGGAGCTTCAATATTGTTTAAAAGCAGGACCTCTTAATTTTCAAAAGAATTCTAAACTCCAGAAAGAGTCAAAATATAGAAAATGTTTGTCGTAATGAATGAAATATCGTTACAGTTAAAAAGTAGATTCAAAATGTCTCTAATTTTAAGTACTGTACGGTTATAAATAGAAAAGCCCTGAGAATGAATGCTGAGACCATAGCTGAGACAATCTGAGATACCAGTTAAAACTCTTAACGTATCTTCGATACGCTAAATGTGATGGTTTAATCATTTATTGGTTTGTTTTATTATTGTCTTTTTTATTAACACAACAGCTACAAGGTATTGATATTTCTGAGTATTTATTGATCACTAGTTGTTATTTGTTATATTAGATTATATCGTTAAGGTTAATAGACAGATACAAAATATCCCTAATTTAAAATACAGATATGAGAACACAACAGTTTTGAGCATTTTTTTTTGTTATATTATTACTTATTACATTTGATAACTTGATAACTTGATAACTAATTTAAAGTGACATTATAAATTAAAAAAAAACAGTCTATAAAGTAATGTTTATAAAAACGCAGTTTTAGTATTTTCATTACAGTCAATGTGATAATTCATATACACATATTATTTATTATTACTCCTTTAGTTTTGTTTATTTTTTTTTCCTTATTTTTGTGTTAAACAAGAATTTATTTATTACATATCTAGAAGCTTGTGGCAGATATATCTGATTTAATAATTTTAAATATCAAAATATTTATATTCAAAAACAAAATTTATTCAAGCCAGTTAGTAAAAATTATTACCTATAAATTAGTGGTAATTAAATACTCTAATTATTATTTAATTATATATAATTTGTCGGTAAATATATGCTATACTAGTAAAATATAGTTTGCGATTTTTTCTTTATAACTGTTACTGCGTTATTTTTTTGTTTTGAAGTAGAAAATTATTTTCCAAAATCTACTTTTTATGTTTTTTTTTAGATAAAAATCTCAATATGTTACTGATCATAGCTCTATTACTTGGATCACTGTTTTTATGGACGTTAGTACGAAAGAAACTTACCACATGGACCAGGAGAGGTGTGAAACAAACTCACCCTTACACCATTTTAGGAGATTCTTGGCGGAATATTTTCCAAGTCATGAGTATACCCGATTTTCTTCAGAAAGTTTATTACATGTATCCAAACACCAGGTAGTATATAGATTATTTTATCTCCTAAATCAATTATTCAATAATGTTATAACATTTGATTTAGATACACTGGATTTTATCAGATCTTGAAACCGGTCCTGATGATCAAAAATCCGGAATTGATCAAGCAAATTGCCATCAAGGATTTTGATCATTTTACCGATCACAGGTCTCTAGGAACGGACGAAGATTTTGAACCACTTTTTGCAACACAACTTTTCTTTTTGAAAGGTAGCGAATTTTTATTTAGTATTTTTAGTATTAAGTAATATTATATATGTTTTCCCTTTCTAGGACAGCGTTGGAGAGATATGCGGGCGTTGCTGTCAGGCTCATTTACTAGTAGTAAGATGAAGACTATGTATGGTCTTATCGCTGAATCTGCAGATCACTTTACGGATTACTTTTTAAAACAATCGATAGACCTTATTGAATTGGATTTAAAACCAGCTTTTACAAGGTATTTTTCGTTCTATTATATACAGAAAGTGTTACAAAAAGCATAAATAAATATTTCCTATTGACTTTTTGAATATTAAAAACACTTTTCTACTTATAGATTCACAAACGATGTCATAGCATCTACATCGTTTGGAATTCAAGTGGATTCAATGACAGAACCCGACAATCAGTTTTACAGAATGGGAAGTGAAATAGCAAATTTTAACAACCTGAAAACGTTTTTCAAAATTTTTGCTTACCTACTTGTACCTTCTTTAAGCAGGGTAAGTCTTAATTTGTATATATTCCTATAACAATTTTCATATGACTTTTTCGTAGTTTTTAAATATGAAGATGTTTTCTAAAGAGTCTTCAACCTTTTTTACTGATATCATTAGCCAAACGATCAAAATGAGGGAAGAGAAAAATATCGTTAGACCTGATATGATCAATCTGCTTCTGGAAGTGAGAAAGGGCATAGTTAAGAAAGACGATGAATCGGTTACTGATACGGGATTCGCCGTGGTAGAAGAGTCGCAACACATTTGTAATATTTTTCAAAACAATAATATAAAATTCAATAAGGAAGTTTATATTTTATAGCAAAGACTCCTAAAAAACACAGAGAGTTAACCGACACTGATATAACAGCTCAAGCGATCATATTCTTTCTTGCTGGTTTCGATACCGTCTCATCGGCAATGTCAAATTGTTGTTACGAACTGGCAATCAATCCAGAAGCTCAAGACAAACTGAGGGAAGAAATTAAAAGCGTTTTAGCTGAAAACAATGGGGAAATCTCTTATGAAACTACCTTAAAAATGGAGTATTTAGACATGGTAGTTTCGGGTAAGTTTTCTTCTCTAAATTATATCAAAAACACTCACAAACTCAACAAACACTTGCACGGCACTATAATTATATGAATAATCTGCCATTTCGATTACTTAGTAAATCTAAACAGTGCCTTTAGAATGAAATTTCTTAATTAGTGCAGAACATCATTTCGTTCAATTGGCAAGTTATTATAATTATATTACAGAAATAAGGATGTCTAATATTGATACTAACAATTTAATAAAATAAGCTGACTTGGTTTTTCCATTCTGTTTTTGATGGGATTAGTCGTATTTCTATTAACTTAAGAAAAAAATTTCTGTTATTTTAGAGACTCTAAGAAAATACCCAGGCTTAAGTTCAACCGATAGAATTTGTGTAAAAAGTTACACAATTGAACCGAAAACTCCTGACGAGGAGCCCGTACACCTGAAACCTGGCGATATGGTCTTTTTCCCGAACTTCAGCGTCCTACGCGATCCCAAGTACTATCCCGATCCGGATAAGTTTATTCCCGAGCGTTTTTCTGAAGAGAACAGGAGCAAAATTGTACCCTACACTTACATACCCTTCGGAATAGGACCTAGGGCGTGTATCGGTACCAGGTTCGCCCTGTTGGAAGTGAAAACCATTCTTATTAGGTTACTGAGCAAGTTCGAAGTCGTGCCAGTCGAGAAGACAAAAATTCCCATGGCCTTTAACAGATCCACGTTGTCAGTTGTGTCTGATAACGGGTATCCCCTTGCTTTGAAACGTTTGAAATAATCGCAATTGTGATAATTGAATTGAAGATATGTACTCGCTTTCATTTAATTCTAAATGTATTTCATGTGCCAGAAATCGTTAATTTTTAAGTAATTAGTATGAATTACTGTTTGATGTATTTTAATTTTATTTACATACTTGTTTGAATTTTTATACTCTTAATTATTAAATTTCGATATAAGTATATTATTAGGATAATAATTTATGGTATAATAAATTTTTAAGTTGTTAATAATAAAATGTATTTAGTCTATAATTTTTTCTGTTTTTTTATTATTACAAATACAGTGTGGTCTAATAAAAAAAGACGTCATAGTATAGATGCAGTATTGGCATAGAAATATCGATACGTTTATAATAAATAATCTTCAGCGTTATAGCGGCTCATATGCAAGAGAGAGAGGGAGAGAGAGAGAGAGAGAGAGAAATCGATAAATCAATAAATAAAATGTATTTCGTTTATATAGACTTATCTACATTCATCCCAAAACTGAAGATAACTAAGTTAAAAGTTAATGATACGAACAGTTACTTAAAACTATCAGGGCTTCTTTGAAACAGAGAAAAGCCCTTCCATTGCTTTTTTTAAATGAGAAATTCAGCCCGAGCCCTTAAATTATAATTCGACCTAGGAGACGTCATATTTTTGAACGTCTTGCTAAAATTACCGAGAAGAAAATTAATTTCCAGTTCTCGTTGGTTTGAAGAAAAATTAAGGAAAAACAAATTTAATTTAAATCGATGAATCAGTAAATCTATAAATCAATAAATCGATAAATCAATAAATCGATAAATTAATAAATCGATAAATCAATAAATCGTTGAATCGTTAAATCGTTAAATCAATAAATCGTTAAATCAATAAATCGATAAGTCAATAAATCGATAAATCGATTAATCAGTAAATCAATAAATCATTAAATCGATAAACCTTAAATCGATAAATCAATAATTCGATAAATCAATAAATCGATAAATTAATAAATAAATGTATTTCGTTCATAGACTTACATCCATCCCAAAACTGAGAAGATAACTAAGTTAAAAGTTAATGACACGAACAGTAACTTAAAACTGTCAGAGCTTCTTTGAAACAGAGAACAGCCCTTTCATTGCTTTTTTAATGAGAAATTCAGCAAGAGCAGCTTAAATTATAATTTGAAAACTCACCTAGGAGACGTCATATTTTTCATCGTCTCTTGATAAAATTACCGAGAAGAGAATTACTTTCCAGTTCTTATTTTAGTTGGTTTTGAAGAAAATTAAGGAAAACAAATTTAATTTAAATCGATAAATTAATAAATCCAGTAAATCAATAAATAAATATATTTCGTTCATAGACTTTACATCCATCCCAAAACTAGAAAATATCTACAGAAGTTAAAGCCAATGATGCGAACAGTTACTTAAAACTATCAGGGCTCTTTGAAACAGAGAAAGCCCTTCCATTGTTTTTTAAATAAGAAATTCAGCCCGAGCGCTTAAATTATAATTTCACCTAGGAGACGTCATATTTTTGATCGTCTTGCTAAAATTACCGAGAAGAAAATTAATTTCCAGTTCTCGTTGGTTTGAAGAAAAATTAAGGGAAAACAAATTTAATTTAAATCGATGAATCAGTAAATCTATAAATCAATAAATCGATAAATCGATAAATTAATAAATCGATAAATCAATAAATCGTTGAATCGTTAAATCGTTAAATCAATAAATCGTTAAATCAATAAATCGATAAGTCAATAAATCGATAAATCGATTAATCAGTAAATCGATAAATCAATAAATCGATAAATCAATAAATCGATAAATCAATAAATCGATAAATCAATAAATCGATAAATCAATAAATCGATAAACCAATAAATCTATAAATCAATAATTCGATAAATCAATAAATCGATAAATTAATAAATAAATGTATTTCGTTCATAGACTTACATCCATCCCAAAACTGAGAAGAGAACTAAGTTAAAAGTTAATGACACGAACAGTAACTAAAAACTGTCAGAGCTTCTTTGAAACAGAGAACAGCCCTTTCATTGCTTTTTTTAATGAGAAATTCAGCAAGAGCGCTTAAATTATAATTTGAAAACTCAACCTAGGGAGACGTCATATTTCCTTTTCATCGTCTTGATAAAATTACCGAGAAGAGAATTACTTTCCAGTTCTTATTTTAGTTGGTTTGAAGAAAATTAAGGAAAAACAAATTTAATTTAAATCGATAAATTAATAAATCAGTAAATCAATAAATAAATATATTTCTGTTCATAGACCCTACATCCATCCCAAAACTGAAAATATCTAAGTTAAAGTTAATGATGCGAATAGTTACTTAAAACTATCAAGGGCTTCTTTTGAAACAGAGAAAAGCCCTTCCATTGTTTTTTTAAATAAGAAATTCATCGAGTGTTTAAAATTATAATTTTCACCTAGGAATCGTCATATTTTTGATCGTTCATAAATTACCGAGAAGAAAATTAATTTCCAGTTCTCGTTGGTTTGAAGAAAATTAAGGAAAAACAAATTTAATTTTAAATCGATGAATCAGTAAATCTATAAATCAATAAATCGATAAATCGATAAATCGATAAATTAATAAATCGATAAATCAATAAATCGTTGAATCGTTAAATCGTTAAATCAATAAATCGTTAAGTCAATAAATCGATAAGTCAATAAATCGATTAATCGATTAATCAGTAAATCGATAAATCAGTAAATCGATAAATCAATAAATCAATAAATCGATAAATCAATAAATCGATAAATCAATAAATCGATAAACCAATAAATCTATAAATCAATAATTCGATAAATCAATAAATCGATAAATTAATAAATAAATGTATTTCGTTCATAGACTTACATCCATCCCAAAACTGAGAAGATAACTAAGTTAAAAGTTAATGACACGAACAGTAACTTAAACTGTCAGGAGCTTCTCTTTGAAACAGAGAACAGCCCTTTCATTGCTTTTTTTTAATGAGAAATTCAAAGTAAGAGCTTGCCACCTCATAATTTGAAAACTCACCTAGGAGACGTCATATTTTTCATCGTCTTGATAAAATTACCGAGAAGAGAATTACTTTCCAGTTCTTATTTTAGTTGGTTTGAAGAAAAATTAAGGAAAAACAAATTTAATTTAAATCCATAAATTGATAAATCAGTAAATCAATAAATAAATATATTTCGTTCATAGACTTACATCCATCCCAAAACTGAAAATATCTAAGTTAAAGCTAATGATGCGAACAGTTACTTAAAACTATCAGGGCTTCTTTGAAACAGAGAAAAGCCCTTCCATTGTTTTTTAAATAAGAAATTCAGCTCCGAGCGTTTAAATTATAATTTCACCTAGAGGAGATCATCATATTTTGATCGTCTTGCTAAAATTACCGAGAAGAAATTAATTTCCAGTTCTCGTTGGTTTGAAAGAAAATTAAGGAAAAACAAATTTAAATTTAAATCGATGAATCAGTAAATCTATAAATCTAATAAATCGATAAATCGATAAATCGATAAATTAATAAATCGATAAATCAATAAATCGTTGAATCGTTAAATCGTTAAATCAATAAATCGTTAAGTCAATAAATCGATAAGTCAATAAATCGATTAATCGATTAATCAGTAAATCGATAAATCAGTAAATCGATAAATCAATAAATCGATAAATCAATAAATCGATATAAAACAATAATTCGATAAATCAATAAATCGATAAATTAATAAATAAATGTATTTCGTTCATAGACTTACATCCATCCCAAAACTGAGAAGATAACTAAGTTAAAAGTTAATGACACGAACAGTAACTTAAAACTGTCAGAGCTTCTTTGAAACAGAGAACAGCCCTTTCATTGTTTTTAATGAGAGAAATTCAGCAAGAGCGCTTAAATTATAATTTGAAAACTCACCTAGGAGACGTCATATTTTCATCGTCTTGATAAATTACTGAGAAGAGAATTACTTTCCAGTTCTTATTTTGGTTAGTTATTTGAAGAAAAATTAAGGAAAAACAAATTTAATTTAAATCCATAAATTGATAAATCAGTAAATCAATAAATAAATATATTTCGTTCATAGACTTACATCCATCCCAAAACTGAAAATATCTAAGTTAAAGCTAATGATGCGAACAGTTACTTAAAACTATCAGGGCTTCTTTGAAACAGAGAAAAGCCCTTCCATTGTTTTTTTTAAATAAGATATTCAGCATTCGACGCTTTAAATTATAATTTCACCTAGGAGACGTCATATTTTTGATCGTCTTGCTAAAATTACCGAGAAGAAAATTAATTTCCAGTTCTCGTTGGTTTGAAGAAAATTAAGGAAAAACAAATTTAATTTAAATCGATGAATCAGTAAATCTATATAAATCAATAAATCGATAAATCAATAAATCCATAAATCGATAAACGAGTAAATCAATAAATCGATAAATCCATAAATCGATAAATCCATAAATCGATAAACCAATAAATCCATAAATCATTAAACCAATAAATCAATAAATCTATAAATCAATAAATATATCAATCAATCGATAAATCGATAAATCGATAAATCGATAAATCAATAAATCCATAAATCAATAAACCAATTAATCGATAAATCAATAAATCCATAAATCGATTAATGAGTAAATCAATAAATCGATAAATCCATAAATCAATAAATCAATAATTCGATAAATCAATAAATCGATAAATTAATAAATAAATGTATTTCGTTCATAGACTTACATCCATCCCAAAACTGAGAAGATAACTAAGTTAAGAAATTCAGCCCGAGCGCTTAAATTATAATTTCACCTAGGAGACGTCATATTTTTGATCGTCTTGCTAAAATTACCGAGAAGAAAATTAATTTCCAGTTCTCGTTGGTTTGAAGAAAAATTAAGGAAAAACAAATTTAATTTAAATCGATGAATCAGTAAATCTATAAATCAATAAATCGATAAATCGATAAATTAATAAATCGATAAATCAATAAATCGTTGAATCGTTAAATCGTTAAATCAATAAATCGTTAAATCAATAAATCGATAAGTCAATAAATCGATTAATCAGTAAATCGATAAATCGATAAATCAATAAATCAATAAATCAATAAATCGATAAATCAATAAATCGATAAACCAATAAATCGATAAACCAATAAATCGATAAATCAATAATTCGATAAATCAATAAATCGATAAATAAATAAATAAATGTATTTCGTTCATAGACTTACATCCATCCCAAAACTGAG